AATTCAAAAGCTGCATCTCTCATTCAAATGTATATTCTGTTAGCAAAAAAATTCAAAAGCTGCATCTCTCAACTGACGACCTATGATTTTACTGTCAAAGACAATATTTAAGGAAGTCTAGCCTTTAAACTAGGAATGTATTCAAATGTATATTCTGTTAGTAATAAAAAATAAATTAAACTGCATCAATGTATTCAGCGTTATAAATGTTGTTTGTCCACTCAGAGGGGAGACCAGTCATGAGGTGATACTGGACCAGGCCAGTCCATAATCCAAACCAATCCCTGACTAATCAGTAAATTTAAAACTGAAGGTTCAGTTCCAATGTCGTAATCTTAATCTTCACCACTAGGCTTCCAGGTTCAAGTTTTTAAGTTTGTCTGTCAGATAATGAAATGCTGTAGAGTAGCTGGGATGTTATCTGCTGAGAGGTTACCGTGGTAACCGTAGAACTGCAGCAGGTTGACGCTGATGATCCCCTGGGGGTAAACATGAGGTTTACATTAGAAATGTAAAAATATTAAAATCGCCATTATTGTCTCAGCCACTGACGCTGGAAACACACTGGATTTACTGCACATGTGACGAGTCCTTCATACATTCTTACTGAATTTTTCCTTAAAATATTTAAAAGTATATAATATTCAAATATTGTAAAAAAAGAAGATGAAATTAAAAATAAAATATATTCCAATTACTGTAAACAAATTATAAAAATACAATGTACACTGCAATATAAACATAAACAAATAATGAATAAATGTTAAAAAGGGAGTAGCAGGTATTTTGACTAATAAAGATACAAATCAAAAATTTAAATGCTGTTAATGCTAAGTAACTAGTTTTCAGTCTTCAGGATACAGTTTTCCGTTTTAGAAAAAAAAAAAAAATTTGAAATCTGCCCCGACCTCTAAAAAAAAAAAAAAAATTGAAATCTGCCCCGACCTCCTTTGACTGGTTCCGTGTAAAAACTGAAAACATTTTTGAGGCGTCACAGGATTATCCTAACATTTTTTCAATGCTAGTTTATTTAAATATACAGTGTTTCTAACTAAATGTGCAACACTTGAACTTCTAGTTTTTAATATCAACAGATTGTTAGTGTTGCAACACGAGGTATTTAATTAGAATCTGAAGAGTACTGCAGTACTGAACTTTCTCCGTCTTGTGTAAAGTCTCCTCAATCACAGGCTGATATATTAAGGAACTAATTGTGTTGTAATGTTCATTACTTCTCTTCCCCGTTAGTTGTCAGCTGCTATTTACAATAAGACTGGGACTTCTAATTAGTTAGCCTTAGGACATCGTTAATTAGCTCCAAACAGTTTTCATCCCACAAAACAACTACCTGGAACTGTTTCTGAATAATGTATGATGCATAAAACTCCAGTCATCTGGATATATCACCAAGGCTCTCCTGGATATTCTTCTATGGACCAGAGGAAGCTCATTTGTGTTAACATGATACGCTGATGACTGAGCGCACTTCATTTGAATACGTCTGTAAATACGGGATGTCGTGGTTCACAGAAACAACGGACTGGTTTTCATTTTCTGACGTTTTTTTTATTTTTTATTTAACACTTGTGGAATATTGATTGTGAAAACCAAGTCAGAGCCGAGACATTAGTTAAAGTGAGACGTGATGTGGTTTGGCCTGGTTTCATCTGAACGTCTGTCGGCAGCAGATTGATGTGACTGTGACACGACCTTTTCCAGGGTGTGTGAAAATGATTAAGCGATGGCTATACTGTGATTTAACATTTGAGCCAGCACGCACTTTATTGATTGTGTGTCTTCACATCTGAAATCATTATCCAGTGTGGACTACTTGGAATATATTTGGCTCTCTTTAAATCACTCTTCATGTTTCTCTGCGAACGCGATCTGACGTCGATGATTAATTAACGATGTTCATCTAGAATTTTCTGTCAAACTGGAACTGATGTTTTTACTCCAGTGTCAGTCTGGAGCGCTCGCCCGTCACCGTCGAGGTAGTAGTACGTGTACTGTAGACCTGAGAGGTACAGCTGAGGCTGTACTCTCTAAAAGGTACTCGCCTGTGTTTTCTTGTGTATTTTTATTTTTCAGTCCTGGAATCAAAAATTGAAGAACTTGTATTTCAGAGAGGGTTTTTAGCTCGTTACAGTAATTGCACATATTTGTCTTAAACATCCATGAATTATAAATACTCCATTAATAATTCATGCAGTGCTAGCTGTGCTCATGTGAACGGAGCTCACATTTTACAGCAGCTCATGTGAAAACGGCGACATCGCACGCAACACTTTTTAGACTCCTGTTTACACGGACAAAAACTAACCATGAGTGACAGTACCAGTGAAAGCTGGTACTGCTGTAGTATTAGGGAGTAATACTTCACCTTTGGCGCTCGTGTGTACGTAGCTTTATGTTGAACACTGATTGGTTGATTGGTGTCCATTCACTTTTTTTCATTGTTGTGAGGCGTTGGTATGAATAGTGAAGTTAGAACTGTTGTGTTAGTGTCAGTGAAATGTCAGGGACAGAAACAGAGAGACTTTCAGTTCACAGTGCTGGTACTGTTGGTCTGAGAACCCTGCGCTGACTTCATGTGGTGAGTTATCGATTAGTTAGCAGGATCACCTTCTCAGTGTCCTAACCCTTATTAGCGGGGGGTGTTAGCACAGCAGTGCGACTGTAGTGCAGTGAGGATGAGGGAAATACAACGTGTTTGTTGGTAGAACCTAATGTTTGTTTTATGATATTGTTTCAACAATAGATTCTGTTTTTGAACGTTCCTAACGGACGACTAGACACGGTCAAAATGTCCTTCTTTTTTTTGTGTATTCTTTCAGTAAGATTTGCTGCCACAGTTCTGTCAGTTTCATCCTCCTGTTGTATGAAGACAACAGTAGGAACAGTGATCGGCTAATAAGTCATTAAAAGCAAAGCCTTAATCACAGACTAACCTTTTGAGACGTGAACAGATCGATGTCCACTGTACGTCCAATAATGTCACCGTCTGGTTTTATTTTATTTCTTCTGTTTGACATCTTGTACCCACTGTCTTCATTACTGTGGTTTTAGGATTTAAACTTAATCTTTAAATAGAACGCCCCGGCTCCCTGCTTTAACTGGAGAACAAGCCGTGCCAACAACACACTATTCACCAGCAGCAGCAGCAGCAGCAGCAGCAGCAGCACCAGCAGCACATGAACTTTTAAGCGCAGCTGAATCTAAAAGCTTCAGGATGAAACAAAAATCCCAGTCACTAGAAAGTAGCAGCGGTGCAGGGGGTAGCAGAGGGGGGGAGGCAGGGAGGAGGTGTGAGGGTAGAATGGGGGGCAGAGCAGCAACAGGGAGACAGAGAGGAATAAGACAACATGTGTTTCTCACACTCACTGTATATCCATGTTTTTCTCACTGTACGTTGTTATTCCAAACAGAAGTAGCTGTGGGCTGTGCCCCCCCCCGGACCCCTCCTCTTTATAAACCCACAGACAACACTACAAACTATGTAATTAAGCACGAATTTAAAGAAACTATTTTTCTTACTTTTACTCAGTTTTAAATAATTATTTTGTTTAGGAATGAGACAATAATTAACGACTGTTTTCAGCGCGGTCATAAACCTGTCCATTATGGGCTAGCTTATGTAGCAGAGCAGCTAACAGGCGCAAACCTACAGGTCTACGTAGATTATGACGTCATGATGTCGACGCTGTTGCACGAGGTGCGTTCAGATAGCATCAGAAATTTGAGAATCTGACAACAGTTTACGTTTTGTTTGTTCCAGGACAGAAACATAAAATACATTTAAACCTTTAACATTTATATTTCCTCTAATTTTCTCAGCCCCCCACCACAGGACAGAAACATAAAATACATTTAAACATTTTTATATTTCCTCTTATTTTCTCAGCCCCCCCGCCCCCAGTGTTATTGTATGGCATGTCGGTAAAACTACAGTGGTGTGTAAACATAAAAATAAATAAATAAATACCACAGTGACACCCTGTGTTAGCATCAACACACTGATGCTACGCTAATTGGACAGTTCCCTCTAAAAGCCACGTTGGTGTCCCTGACAGCTGTACTTACAAACTGACGGATCATTTTAACTGTAATTTCTGCTCCACTTCTCATGTATAAATAAATATATAAATACATACATCTTTCAGGTCTGGAGCGAGGGTAATTATTTTCCACATTAACCTCATTATGCTGCGTTCCCCGGGGCAGAATATCAGCCACACAACTGGCGTGGAGCAGATGCTGTTGGTGTGACACAGTGGAGGCGCAGCAGGACAGAGACACGACAATGCCACCGTCACAGACACAGAGACAGACACCGCCACCACCGCAACAGTCACGGTCTCCAGTTCTCTCCTTAAATCTACTGATTTCAGACTCCAAAATAAAAATCACGGCAAAATGGTTTTAAAATATTTCATACTTTATCTTAGTCCCAATGACTGAATTCTCAGCAGAGACGATAAGATCATAAGATGATAACTACAGTGGTTAATGCCCCCGCCCTGACTGAAGAGGTCGCCGAACTCCCCGTCCATTTCTGTGGATGGGACTACAGTACGTCAGTAATAAAGTAATAAAGTTCTCACAAATCACTCAGCAAATAAAACTACGAACAAGAAGTGATTTTCTCTCAATGTGACACAAATAATAATAATAATAAAAAAATCAGATTAACATGACCTGCTGACCATTTTATAACTACACGCCCCCCAGTTTGGAAACCAATGCCTTATTGGAAATAGATCACAGATTTCCACCCCTGTGGCAGCTGATGGTCTTTGTGTGTGTAGTGTATATATATATATATATGTATATATATATATATATACATAAACATATGTATATATGTGTGTGTACATATATATGTATATATACACACACACACTCATATATGTATGTGTGCAGGGGTTTTCTTCAGTCTTCTATTTTGTCTTTTGTGACTTATTCTCTCAACTCTGTGTAAATATATATTTGGTGTTGGTTTTTGGTTTCCTCCATATATGAGGATTCCTGTTTAGCAGAATTTAGTCGTTAAATTGGGTTCGCTGGAGTTTTGATGCTGACGAAGTGAAAATGTCAAAAAGACTTGAAAAATAGTCCTAATCCAAAAAAAGGGAGGGTCGGGGGGAGGTGGGGGGTGAGGGGCAGGGCTGCGGAAAAGTTTGGGAAACCCTGCACGCGCGTGTGTATGTGTGTGTTTGTTTGTTTGTTTGTGTGTATGAGGTGTTTACGCCACTGTTCATCTCGTCGTCATGAATGAACAGATCCAGTGGATTCATGATCTGAGCCGCAGCAGGTGAACAACTCACTGACGGTGAACGGCTGTTCGATCCCAACCCTGTGGACACGATCCCGGTCATGTGGTCTCTGCTCCCCCGGTCAGCAGTACGTGTCCAGCGCAGCTCAGCAGAGGGGAGGCATTAAGGCGGAGGGGAGGAGAGGGGAGGAGAGGGGAGGAGAGGGGACGTGAGCTGCTGAAATCTCAGCCACTCCACTCCGTGTTTTGGCCTGACCGTGACTGCTGCTCTCCGCTCCCGCTGACGGGCTGCTGACTTCTCTCTGTCACACTGATGCTGCCGCCTGTTCCGGAGAAGTTGCTGTCGCAGCCGCAGCCGCAGCCGCAGGTAGCAGCTCCGGTCTACTCCGTCACGGGGGCTCCTTCAGTCTGAGGACCCCGAGACTCCGCTGGACTGTTCGGTCGCTGTTGTCCGCGGGGCTGGAGCTGGAGCTGGAGCTGGGGCTGGAGCTGCAGCTGGAGCTGGAGGATGGACAGTGAGGAGAGCTCCTCCGGCTGCTGCCCTCTGTGAACGTCCGTCATCTCAGAGACTCCGTCCATTCAGGCTCCAGGATTAATTCTCATTTATTTCCGACGGATTTCACTCTCCCGCCCCCGACTTTGACAACTGGGTTCACAGATGTATGCGATGTGGAAACTGCAGCTGGCCTCATGTTCCTCACTGTGGATGCTGATGCTGATGCTGATGCTGTCATCTGCCGCTGCCGACAGCAAAGCGCGGAGCTGCAGCGAGGTCAGACAGGCGTACAACCTGAAGGGCTTCAGCCGGGTCAGTGTTCCCCACCAGGAGATATCAGGTAGGAGACCACTGTCCACCTCCTCCACGTGCCCCCCCCCCCTCCACCCCCCCACACACAGCAGTTCTAGGGTGAAGGAGAATCTTCCTGGGGTCCCAGAGGAGTGGGTAACAGTTGTTGAAGGGGTCCACGTATGGTAGAAGTCAGAAAGTTCTAAGACAGATCTTACACTCACTACATTATTAAAATGAAAACCAAATTCTTTTTTAGCAAATTTAAAATTCTTCAAACTCCGTTGTTTTTATGTTTTATAACCAGGATGTGAACATTTTTAAAATAACCTGAAATAAAAGCAGAAACATATTGAAGCTCATCAACAGGTTTTACTTTGAACTCCTTCTCATTTTCTCTCTTCAAATGTCGGAGTTTTCCAACAGGTTCTGATCTCAACAGGTTCTGGTGTCAAAGGTCACCCTCTGACCAGAGCAGATGTAGAGAAGTAGTTTTAGACCTTGACGTGGTTAGTATTATTTTGTGAATGGATTTGAGGGAGAATTCTTTCAGATTCTCTTGCGTCCGTGGAGGGTTTTTACGGTTCGCTTACGAAACACGTGAACAGTAAATCTATGACCACTTGTGGTCCGAACCCCTCACCCTGAAATCTGTGCCCCACACTGTGAGCTTCCTTGAGCCTTTGAGCATCTTCACACCGACAACCTGTGGTGCCTCTTTATCACAGTCCACCTGGGCTTCACCCTGGGCTCAGTGTCTGACAGACTTCGTCAGAGCACAGATACATTTATAATCCTCTCCATATTTCTACTGCGTCTGGAAGCTGTAAACACACTCGTCACCACCAGATGGAGGATTTTGTTTTGGTTTTCTAATTAAAAAAAAATAAAAAAATAAAAAATGCTGCGTTCAAGAGCCTCATTAAAATCCTTCTTTTTAACACGTTACATTTAAACATTCATTGTAATATCCTTAGGCACCACAAGGGGTGCAGTGATATTGATATACATTCAAAAAAGAATTATGATTAAATAAAAAACCCCAAAGCTCTGGTGTGTGTGTGTGTGTGTGTGTGGTGTGGGCCAGGTTGTAACGTGGGCTGCAGACCTGTTGATGCAGCTCACTGATGGACTGGCTGAAAGGCTGACACTGCTTACCAGTAGGGGGCTGTATACACTCAGCACCAAATGTGCACTCCAATAGCTGGGGAGGTTTTTTATTCTTTTTGTCCCCCTCTCTCTCTCCCTCCCTCACCCCCTCCCCCCCCCCCCCCCACGGCTGAAGCTTAGGTTTTAATTCTCAGCCTTTGCAGCAGCACAGATATGGTTTTATTATCAGGAGGAGGCCATCAGGCAGTGAACACAGTCGGCCTTACAGGGTGAGGGGGTGTGTGTGTGTGTGTGGCGGGGGGGCGTCCTGACGTTAACCCTTCACTGACAGTGTTGGTAATTACTGCTGTCACACCACAGTGATCTGATTGGAGTTGGACATGGTCTGGACCGGAGCGTCCTTTTATTCCTATTAGTCCCTGCGATGGAGTGTGTGTGTGTGTGTGTGTGTGTGTGTGTGTGAGGGACGCCGTGCTTCAGTTCCAACTGTGTGTGTTTCAAATTTGAGCTTTTAGATGTGGGTCATCATTAAAGTCAAAAACAGTTCTTTGTTTAATTAAAACAAACAAACTGTCATGGACTGGTGTCACACACACACACACACACACACACACACACACACACACACACTCAACTGTATCAGCTTGAAAGACTGTTTTAGGATAAATAACAAATAATAAAATAAATAAATAAATAAAACCCTGGGTTTTTTTTTATAGTTTGTTTCTCTGACAGAAAATCCCCCAGAATTCCCTGAATATTTTTGTTTGTAAAAAATTCCGCCTGGAAACCATTGAGTGTCGAGTCACATGACCAACACAGCAACACTGTTGATTCCACATTTCCCAACATCTGATCTCAATTTCCATCTTTTGTTCCCGTTTGGTTGCAATGATTCCTTCTCTTCAGCGTCGATCCTTTTCTGCTCTTCTTGTGTTGGAACGTTGTCTCCACGGGTTCACGTCAGTCCAAGGTTCTGTTGGCTCGGACTTCATCATGGTTGTACTGAGACTGAGGCTGGTGTTGTACCAGTAACCTGTGTCGGCAGTACTGCAGTACGGATGTTGTATTTGGAGATCCTGTATATTTGTATGTTTTGGTTTTGAGCTCGGAGGTAAAAAGCAGGTCTTAATTAGAACTCCTGCTCGGCCCAGGTGACTGGGTGTAATTGGATTCTGTTGTCTTGTAGTAACCTTTGAATAAATACAACAGAGGTTTGAGATCTCAGGAGATGGGATTGTAGAACGCTCTCAATTATTCCTAATGAGCTGCTCCACTCCAAACTCCAGGTGGAGCTGCACCAGCGGCGCGGCCTCAGATGCCTGCGTGGTGTGCGGTGTGGATCAAGACCGCGGTGGTCCCATACGTCTGCAGACCTCCAGTTTCCTTTAGTTCGCCAACTGACTTTTTGCATTGTTTATTTTTTCATTTTTCTTCACTTAATTACACACAGCGCCCGGACGTAGAGCTCGTTATGAACAACAATATTTGATAATTAACATTAATTAACACATTTTCCTTTTAATTCTGAATTTAGTCTGAAAGTGAAAGCAGTAAAAAGGCAACCTCAACCCTCTAACAAAAATTAATATTTAGACTTTATTTTGTTAATAATTGTTTTCAAAGAATGTTTTTCTGTTTTGTTTTTTTTACAGAAAACTAAAATTTTTTGATTGTTTTTAAAAACTGCATTTTGCAGTAAATTGGACGTTTTACTGGACATTTTCTTTTTTAGAGTTGAGAAAGCAGCCTTTGTTTAGTCCAATGGCCCTTAATTGGCAACCTCTGGTACACATGTGGACTGCAAGCCACCTATTTGTGAAATGTGGCTGTTTTTAATTTCTTTTTTTTTTTTTTAATTGAGTTTGTATTATTGTTTGTTTTCCCATTTTAGATTTGTATTTGAGGTTCCCTGATTTAGTGCAAAGAACATGAAGAACAGAACGTCATCAGCAAAAGTACAGACCTAAAATCCAGTACCTCACGATGGCGGCTGTCGGTCCCTGTAGAACTGCTCCGCGCAGTATCCGTGTACAGCATCTCTTCCCGCTGGAGTCTGCCAGAGAAATACAAATAAAACAAATAAATAAAACACGATAACTTTTCTGGCATTCATAAGTTAAAGTTAACGTGTGTGTTTCTTGTCACGGGTCAGAACACTGTCTCAGTCAGCCCGCCTCTGGAACAGACTTTAAGAGACCATGGTCCACGCACTGAGCCAACGCTCGGTTGTACTGCACACCGAGTCAGACAGTTGGAGACCAAGAAGGTGAAGCAGAACGTAGCAGTAACAGTGACCTCTGGTGCGCCAACGCACCGTAGATACGATCAGAAGTACGACTTGAGTTGATGCACAGTTTTATTTTCACGGTTTTATTTTCAGCACGAGTTAAAACCTCTAAAGAAACACTAATGTCAAAATGTCAACATGCTAACATTGCAACAATTCTCCCAAATTATTTCACTTTTGCGTTGGTAAAAAAAGCAGTCGACTCTGCTGTTACAGTAACTGATATAATGTCAGGACCCAGGGTGGACTTTATCACAACATTTCTGTAAATTTTATTACATGTAGAAAAAATATATATTCTATTGTATTTGACAATTTTGACAAAACTGTTTTTCTCTAAATAACCGAGTGACTGAGGTCTAAGAACCATGAAGAACAGGAAACAAAAGTTGATCTCTGACGATCATACAATGGGCTTTAATTAATGAGTGATTCATTATAACTAATTAATTATTAAAATGCATTATTTCATAATACTATATGATAATTTATGCAAACACAATTATTTTTTAAAATAACATTTTCATTATTTTTTCACGTGCATTATTTCATAATACTATATGATAACTTATGCAAACACAATTATTTTTTATCATTTTCATTCTTTTCAAACACCTGTCTTTGCAAAAAGAACAATTTATAAAAAGTCAAATGTATAAACAAAGATATAAAATTCAAAAACAAAAATGAACAGTGTGCATGATGAGTGAAATTCAAAAACAAAAATGAACAGTGTGGATGTGTGCACGTAATTTTATCATTTCTCATCCTTTCACTGTATCTGGCGAAAAACTCACACTTTTCAAACACTCGTCGATTAGAGATATCAACACAATTTCATTTTTAGCCTCTGTGCTAACTGCTGACGCTGCTGCTACAGCTACTTCATGCTCCCCGCCTTTAGCTTCGTTGCCATTAAAGATGTTTTAAATTACTTGAAATAAAATGCATCCTTTAGACACTTCTATTTTGTCACATTTAAAATTTCAAATGGACACATGTTGGTTTCAAATGTTGCCTTTGCTCCAGTTAGCTGTTTTAGCTCCTATGCTAATGACTCTGCTACGTAGCTCATGGAGGCTCAAAGTAAAGACATTTTATCCTTTAATTTCTTAGCTCTAATTTCACTAAAGATGATAAAAACATTAACCCACAACCAGTTTATAATTCACTGTAATTGGTTTCACTCTGTAATTCAGATTTGTGAATTATTTCAGTCAATTATTGTTGTTTTGCAGCAGTAAACATCTGTTTTTAAATCCAATTTAATGATTGACTAATTAATTGAACGTTTGTTAAAACATGTTAATGAATACAGTCCACTGAAGCGTCTTCGACAGTCATGTCAATTAGCCATGGTTTGGGGCAATACATAATCAACAGTATAATATGTCTGACCCGCTCACTGCTCCGCCTGGCAAATTACCACGGTTATGAAAATGTGTTGGCACGTCATAGTCACACTGTGAAGAGGCACAGTGAGCAGACTTGGACGGGAATCAACCACTTCCCACCTCATTGACTAAAAAGAGCTGGTTTCTCTTTGTAGCTCAGGACTATTATACGTCTCAGCGTGCTCACACAATGGAACCAACCTTAGGGTCGAGGCACGAGGAACACCTGAGTTCTTGGTAAAGTTCCAGGGAGTTTTTATCCACCAGCAGGTGGGTTGAACCCAACGTTCAAAGTGAATTATGTTATAATAGGGTGTGATGTAGAGCGGCAGCTAAAGAATATTTTTCAATGGATAAATGTAACCACTATGTAATTAAATGGCTATTTGAACAGTTAGAATAAAATAGTAACATTTTGAAAAAGAAGTTTAAAAAGAAATCCAGAACCAGCAGAAACAGAAATCAGATAAAAACTACAAACTATGAGTAGGAATAAATAAAAACATAAAACACAAATGTATATATGCATATTTAGATTTATGTATATATACATATATGAAAATGTATATAAATATATGTATATATATAAACAAATGTGTAAATGTAATATATTTATAAATATATTACATTTACACATTTGTTTATATATATACATATATACATACATATATATATAAACTGAATGAAACAAAGTTTTGATTCAGGAATATCAAAATCCATTTCTCACTGTTTTCCTGTTAATTCTTAATGGATGGGAGCAGAATAATCGATTGATCGTTTTACTTCTCCTGTGGTGAATAAGCTAACGTCTGAAAGTGGCTGTTAGACAGCTTCATTATATCCCAGCGCTCCCAGCCTGTGATTCCTCCATTTACGTGTCTGTGTTGTCAATGTACCGTCTTCTGCCTGCTCTCTGTAATCAGCAGTCAGCTCCACCACGGCCTCCCCTTGTGCTTATGTCAGATGTTGGTTTTAGTGTCAAACACACAATGCTGCTGGATTGTCGATCCTTTGTTCATAAACACAGCCGTGTTCCAGTGAGGCTCCTGCTCCCTCCGACGCTCAGCTGTTAATGTGAACATCCACTAAGACAGACTGAACTCTCGCGGGTCGGCGCCGAGCTCTGCTTCAGCTTTTAAGCAGAATCACTTGATACGCAGAGTCTGTGACTTATATTTCCTTTCATACATAACAATTACCTTTGAGCTTCAACTGCAGCCACTCATCACAGTATTTATTCTAAATATATTTACTTCTTAAAAGTACTGGCTCTGTCTGTTTTATCACAGTAATCTGAAGCGGGCTCTCTGCAGATTGTGCCGAGCGAGCATTTTCCATTCGGCCAAAAACACAAGGTCGAGTACAGAGTCAAGTTTGTCTTAAACTTTTAAAAAAATATATGGTAAAAGGCAAAGGTCCAAGACCATTGGGTTGCTGGTTGGATTCCAGATTTCCTGTGGATATGTTTTTTTTGCCCTAAACAGCAACGTTCATATTAGGTTTTTTCCTAGCCAACCAGAAATAGACCATATAAATATATATATATATATATATATATATATATTTATATATATACACACTGTATATACGTATTAATGTGTGTCAGTATATATATATAAAATTCTCTTGTAAGTCTCTTTGGATAAAACCGTCTTCTAAATGCATGAATGTAAATGTGCGAGAGCCAGATCCTCCAGACTGGTGCAGGTAGAAGTGACCTGCCTTTGGAGCTCTGTCCCTGTGCAGGACTGGGACTTCACTAATGAGCGCTGCTCAGAAAACCACAACCTCTGGAACACTACAAGCTGCCCACTGTTTGTGTCTTTGTCTTTTTAATGGTTCTGCCCGAGCTCTTATCAGAGCAGGGCTGTGCTGTGAATGAGTAGCTTGGTCTTTCAGATCTAGGAAAGTGGGTTGGATATGATTGACTATGGAATGATTAAAATTAAAAATCAGATTCATTATAGATAATCTGATTTATCATGATTAATCATGATCATAATTAATCACAATTAATTGTGACCCCAATTGATCACAAATCAACATCTCTAATATATATATATATATATATATATATATATAAAACTTCATTCAGTATGTCTCTGGAACACAAATACAAATAACCTCAGGTCAGGAAATACGAAAGACTGAATCATTATTATTATTAGATGTCAAGAAAATCAAAAACAGTTTGAGTGATAGTCTTGTCATAAAGTTGGTGTTTTATATATATATATTTATTATATTTTTCCGGGTGTTTGTGTGATTGATCGACGCTAAGTTCTGTTCCCACCACTGTCTCTGAAAACAGAGAGGTGACGTTAACCTTGTCTTTGGACTCTACAAATTCACAAAGAGAGAAAAGCCAACGGTCAGCGGAGCTAACAGAAGGAACAGTCACATGTAGTATTCCTCTCCGGGGAAAACTCTTTTCTGTCTTAGCAATTCTATGCCATGAGCATCTAGGGAGGGGGGGGGGATGGGTTCACCTTGTCACTTGACTGTATACACAGAAGAATAGCAGCCGACTGCACACAATTATAAAACAGCCTTCCTACTGGGGTTCATTTAAGAGAAAAACCCGGAGCAACATTAAAAAGTACTGTTTACTCCACAGACAACAGTACCACTAATCACTCCTTCTATTTTCACCCTCTGGACGAGTGGGTGGTGAGTGTGGGCCTTTATTTATTGTGTATCATAGGAAACTGAGGCGATGTGTGGTGTTTATGGTCTCCCTCTCTCAGCCCACAGTGACTTCCTTCCCTCTGGGGGGGCGAGTCTAAATAGAACTCCCGAGTCTGACACCGATGATAAGACTCATACAGAAGGAGAAGCCACATGGGTTTATCACACTCAGTGTCAGGGATGCAAATACATCTCAACCCTGGAGACTTTTTATTTTTGTTTGTCACGCGCAGACAAGTGCACACGGCTGAGGTGATTTGCTAAATATGTTGCCCCTCGGAAGATTTGAGAGTAAACAAGCATCAAGCACCGCGGAGCACGGCGCGTCGTCATTGTCAAGAAATATAACATGTTGTCATGAAATATAGTCAAGCAGACCAACGAGGACTTAGTGTTGTGGAAACATACTGTTTAAGACTCCGTGCAACCATGAATAAATAATTAAAAAAAGACAGATTCATTATTTATTTCTTCTTCAACACAGACGATGTGACACCGTCTGTAATACTGTGTTTATTTATAATATTAGCACGTACAGTTAAGAGTTGATTATCCAAGGAGAATTCTGTTAGTATTACGTCGTACCAATTGACCTAGGGGCCTCGGATGGTCCACAAACCAGGGTTTGGGGACACGGTGTATTATCGCAACAAATGGAAGGGTGGTGGAATCATTGCCTACACC